CGTAAAGGTCTGTCCACAATGCAAAAATAGCAATTATTAACATTTACAACTATTTGCTGAATCAAAAAAAAACTGTTATAATGAAAAAATAAAGTTAATTCCTGATTTTGAAGTAAAACGAGATTTTGAAGTTTATGTCCGTGTTCTCTGTTGTGTGATAAATTATAGAAGAAACCACCCAAGAATACTAATTAGTTTAATGTCCGAGAGGTTGCTGAAAAGTGATGATAAATTTGAAAAAAAAAAGGCGAGTGTGAGTCAGTGTGCGACGACGAAGCAGGTGTAGAAATATGCCAGTGGGTGCTTCGCGGTCGTTTATACCTGCGCGCAAAAGAGAGGATGGTGATCTCGCGCTTTAGTGCGTTTTTACGTCGCCTCCGGTCAAAATGAAGAGGACGAGGTCCTTTCATTTCCAGAAATAGGGAGAGTCTGCTTCTCTTTTTTCCTCATACTATTTTTTTTTTATGTCAAAAAATTATATGTGCAGAGAATGATTAATGTTCCAATGGTGACACTATGCTTATATATATATATATCAAGTTACCTGATGTAATTTGCATAATTTCTGTGTTAACATTTCACTCAACTAAGCTCTTTATTTATTTATTTTTTTCTTTTTCTGAGGTTTTTGTTTTACGCAAGCATAAAAATAAAGAAAAAAAAAGCGACGATATCCTTCAAATTGAACGACTTTAGGCGCGTGGGAATATGGCTCGCACCTGAGAAAAGTATATATATATATACTACTCGTACCGCTCATAAATCGCGCGCCTGTTTCAACTTGCTTATATAGTACTTGCGAGCTCTGCACGAAGCCATGCGAAATTTTTTTTGTTTTTTAATTCCCATTTTTAATTTACAGCACGATTAAGCCATTTTTTTTTATAACTCATACCCTTTATATTGCTAATGCTGTCAGTTTGAAACATTTATTTCTTTTTTTTTTTTTTGGTAATTTTTCTGTTTCTAAAGTTATTGACGTTTTCTTAAATTTTTTTTTTGAGAAATAAAATAATATTAGTAGAAAAAATTTAATTATGTTTATTAAAGTTTAAAAAAAAAAAAATGGAAGAGCATCAGTCAGTTTAGAGTTGCGTTTTGTACATATATGTTGAATGTAAAAGAATTGTAGATATAGGTTTGTCATTTATTTTGCACTCATAACCTATAAAAAACATTTTGCAAAACGCTGCCATGTGAATTCATCCTAACTGTGTTATGTATATAATAAACAGAAGATAACGACCCAACCCTGGTTTGAGATTTAAAAAGGTTGCCGCATTATCTGCACTCGACATTTGTCATAATTTTAATCAACTACCGCACTCTGCTTTGGTGAAAATTTAATTTAAAAAATCGTACCCAAGACCAATTAAATTGAGAGATAAAATAAATCAAGAATTAGAAAAATTATTAAAATTAAAAATTATAAAAAGAATGAATACAAGATTTATAAGTCCAATATGTACAGCGTTAAAAAAAAAAAAAGATATAGAACAATAAGATTTTGTCTAGGACGCGAGAAAATTAAACGAAATTTAAATTTTAATTCCGTTGGCAGAAGCAGATAGTAAAAAATACACGGAATTTATTATTGAAGGAAAATGTTATGTATTTAATGTATATAGTACCTTTTGCTTTAAAAACTAGAATATTTAATAATAATTTATAATTAAATAAATAATTAAAATTTAATATAAATTTATTTAAAATAAAGTTTGTTTTTATCACGATTTCAATTAATAGAGTTGCTACTTTTTTAAAAATAATTTTTTTTTTTTTAATAATAATTGTGAAAAAAAATGGAGGGTAAAGGGGGTGTAAAGGGAGAGAATGGATATAATCCGTAAGCGTATAAAAGTGAATAAAAAAAAAAAAGAAAAAAAAAATGAAAGGAGACTAAAATTGTGCATTGCGCCTCGATTCGATGTCCGCCGGAAATACATAACTTAGAATCAGGCGTACGAAAGAGGACTAATCGCGAAAAATACGACGGCTTTTATGCGCTCATGGGACGCGGGTAAAGTTGAAATATAATTTCGCGGATTAGCAAAGACCCATGGGCCCTTGAATCGTAAATTTTCAACGAGTCTCTCGTTACTTGCGGGTCCCGCACACGCTCTGTGCTATTTCACGCACCGATCTTTCCTCTCTCTCTCTCTCTCTCTCTCTTTCTTACAAATCCAAACATTTACTCGATCTTTAATTCAACAAATTTTACACGGGCAATTGTATTTTATTTGCTATTTTAAATTCTGTATTTTCTTTTATAACTTCTTCAAAGTCATATTATTTTATTTAAATATTTCTCTATTTTATAAAAAAAAATTTCACTGCTGTCTCCAGTATGGGTCATTCCATGTTAAGGGTAACCAACACATGTTTTTGACAAGGTTAGGTTAGGTCAGGTTAGGTTAGATTAGGTTATGTTAGGTTAGGTCAGATTAGGTTAGGTTATGTTAGGTCATGTTAGGTTAGGTTATTTTTAGGTTAGATTAGGTTAGGTTAGGTCAGGTTAGCTTAACTTAGGTTAGGTTAGATTAGGTTATGTTAGGTTAGGTCAGATTAGGTTAGGTTATGTTAGGTTAGATTAGGTTATGTTAGGTTAGGTCAGATTAGGTTAGGTTATGTTAGGTTAGATTAGGTTATGTTAGGTTAGGTCAGATTAGGTTATGTTAGGTCAGGTTAGGTTAGATTAGGTTATGTTAGGTTAGGTTCTATGATTCAAGGTCAGAGATCAAACATAACCTCAAAATTCTAGGGCATATAGGTTTCCAGGATTCAAGGCTTTAGTTTAAACATAACCTCAAAATTTAAGGACATAGGTCAAGGGACCGTTGGGTTTGAGGCTATTTCGTCCGACAAACATAACTTCGCAAATTCCCCTATATAATCAAAAAAAAAAAAAAAAACATAACCTTAAAATTTAAATAAAATTTTAATAATTTTAATACTTGCAAACCTCACAAAAAATTAAAGTTGAAAATAATGGGGTTTGGCGCGTACCTTCTTATATTAAATTGAAATAATAAATAAATAAGAGAAAAATTAATATAAAATGTTTTTAAAATAAAAAAAATAGTTTTTTTTTTAAATGTAAAAGCAATATGTGATGAATAAATAATTATAAGTCCATTAGAATTGACATGCAATAATTGCGGTTTAATAACTATTTATTTTAGATATTATATGTTATTTTTCAAATGAGATATATCGATTCTTTTTGACGCACATATATATGTATATTTACACTACTTTATTGCCTTGTTGTAATATATTTACAAATTTATTAGAAATTTCTTTAAACAATAGTAAAATGTTTATAAAATTAATTCATCTTAATTTTTTTTTTTTTATCTTTCCTTCACTGGAAACAGTTGAAACACTATTGTTAATTTATCTGCCACAGACACTAAAAACTAAATAATGAACATTTAATTATTATTTTATTGCAATTATTTTATTATTATTAATTAATTAAATTAAAATAATTAATATTAATAAATTATTATTTATTATATCACATTTTGAATTATTATTATTATTATTATTATTATTATTATTATTATTATTATTATTATTAATATTATAAGAAAAGTAAATTTTTTAACTTAATTACTAGTTAAAAATTAAATTTTAGAGAATAAATAAACTTTCAAGTGATTTGCTTTAAAGTCTAATAAAGAATAATTTTTATAAACTATTATATTAATATATAGTGTATTATCGATTTACATATGTTGCGTGTTATCATTATTTATATGTAATATTATTTTCATATGGAATTGATCAATAAATAATTTAAAATAATTTATAATTCATTTTTTTTTTTTATTAAAAATATACATGAATATTGTTTTGTAATAAAAGAAAATAAAATTATTCATATATGATAGATAAGTTATAACTAATCTATAATTTATTTTTATGTTTCTCTCACTGGATATAGTTGAATCACTATTGTCAATTTATCTGCCATTGCTAGTATAAACTGAAGAAAATGATATTTTATTATTAATATATATATATATGAAAAAAATTAATAATTTTATCCCTAATAACACAAGATATCTTGGGATATATTGATAATATCCCGCAGATATCCTAGGGATGTCCTATGGATATCAAAAGGATCTCTTAAGGATATCCAAAAAATCGGCGATTTGGATATCCCATGGATATCTGAGAATATCCACAGGATATCCACAGTATATCTTTTGAATATCTCTATAGACTTTCATAAATTTTCTCCAGATATCCCATAGATATCGTCAGGATATCCCACAGATATCATCAGGATATCCCATAGATAACTATTAATATTAATAATACATTAAGTGCATGAGTTTATTTAAAAATTTTGAAAAATGCGTTTTAAATCTTCATTTAAAATAAATTAGAAGCTTATAAGATTTTTGTTTTTATTATATATTATTATTCATTATATTAGCTTAACAATTTTAACCTTTAAAAATATATGTTGAGATATTAAATATCCCGTGAATATCCTAAGCATATCCCACGGACATCCTGAGGATATCCCATGGATATTCTGCGATATAATATCCAATAGATATTTTGTGGATGTCTTAGGGATATCCTGTGGATGTCTTGTTGATGTCCCACAGACCGGCGGTTTGGATATCCTAGGCATATCCTATGGATATCCCAAGATATCCTGGGGACCATTCTAGGATATCGACCATTGATGTGGATATCCTATAGATATCCTAGGGATATCTTTTTGTTATGAGGGTACTGTAATTATTTATAAAAATGATAATAACCCCCACAGCACCGGATATTTAAGGATATCCCTGGGACATCCTGGGGATATCCATTTGCTTGTGGCGGTTTGGATATCTCTCGGACATCCTGAGGATATCCCTGGGATATCCAAACCGCCGCAAGGCAATGGATATCCTCAGGATGTCCTAGGGATATCCTTAAATATCCGGTGCTGTGAGGGAATAGATTTAAAATAATATATAGTTACTTACAATTGTTATCATTCCATGATTTAATTGAACTCCAAAAAGTGTAAATAAAAGAGGATTTTGTTCTATTTGTTCAATAAATTCATTAATCTGTAAAGTAGAAGTTTTTTTTACTGTCAAAACTATGAAAATATTATATGATTAATAAAAAGAAAATATCCCCGTAATGATAATAAAAATAATTTTTTTTAAAAAATTAATCAAATAATTAAATGAATTCTATATATATATATATAATTACCTCTTGGACAATAATTGTGTCCTTTAACAAATAAAGAAGATATTCCTGAGTTTTAGTAACCTGGTTTTTTTTTAATAAAAAAAAATTCAATTTTATTACAGAAAATTTTATATCAATAATTCAATTTTTTTTTAAAAATAATTTCTATTTATTAACTTTATTGAATTTGTATATGTATCATATATATATATAAATAATTTATTTACCTCCAATGTAACATCGTAACATACGCTATTAACGTAAATAATTTTAAAAAAATATCCAATCCACAAAAATACAACATCTAAATACATACTAACAGCGAGATTTATATTATTTTTTACATTTTTAAAATAAGCAAAACAAATTAAGTAAAGTACAATTATTTCTGTTAAGAAATTAACAATTATTGAAATGAAAATTTGAATTTTATAAATTTCATTTAATTTTCGAGCAATTTTTGACAGTTCCAAATGTTGTAATCTATAAAAAAAAAAAAAAATTATCACAAAAAAAAATAATAGAAATTTCTTAAAAAAATTTGACTACTTACTTAATTAGCTTTATTATATTTAATTTTCTTCTCGCATTTTTTTTATGTAATTCACTAGTCAGTAAAATTAATCTACTTTCCATTTTTAGAATATTATTCATATGCTTAAAAGAGTGTCCAATACATCTGAAAAAAAAAAAAAAAAAAAACACAAATTAGATTGAAAATATATGAGGCGCATGAATTTTCCCAAAAATTAAAAAGTTGGAAATTTTAATTGATCGAATTATTATTTTTAGTCGATATTTTATTTGGTCGAAATTCTAAATGATCGATATTTAAAGTGGTCGATATTTTATTTGTTCGATATATTCTAAATGATAGAAATTTAGAAGCATCGAATTTTATATTAATCGAAATTTAATTTAGTCGATATTTTAAAAGCTCGACATTTTTTTAGCTATACGAGTTTCCTCTCTATGTTGTTATTATATGATTTACATCAATAATTTCAAATTTCCCGCAAAATTTCAATGTACTTTACCGACAATCTACAAAGAAAGGAAACTCGTATAGCTAAAAATGTGTCGAGCTTTTAAAATATCGACCAAATTAAATAAAAATAATAATAATAATAATAATAATAATAATAATAATAATAATAATAATAATAATAATAATAATAATAATAATAATAATAATAATAATAATAATAATAATAATAATAGTAATAATAATAATAATAATAATAATAATAGTAATAATAATATTATTATTTATAGTATAAAATTAGTCTATGAACACATACTTCACAAGTAGTCCAAAATTAAAATCTATGGTCCCCTGCATAAACATTGGCAATCTGTAGAAAAGCGTGCAGTAACATATTTTTAAAAAACTCACATTATCTTCAACAAATATAAATATTTCCAAAAAAGCAGTTAGAAATAAAATAATAAAATATGTTAATATCATAAAAAAATTGTGAATAAATATTTTTCGATAAATATCTCTTGATTGAAAACCATTTAAATTTTGATTTAATAATTCTATTCCCTCAATACATAATTCTATTTCCTGTAAATTTAAATAATATTATATTACTTTTAATACTTGCAAAAAAATATATTAAAAAATTGTATTTACAAAAAAATTTTTCTTCAAATTCGTCAGTTCATAATTATTGAAGTGATCTTTATTTATTGTTTTTTTTTTACCTTGTTCATCCACAATGTTAGTATCACTGACAAAATTGCTGATAATTGATTACAAGCGTATACAAATACTATAACATCATGATTTATTTTTAAAAAATCTTCACCATAATAACATCTATTGTATCCATCGTAGAAAAATATGATAGAAAGTGAAAAAATCATTGTTAATGTATAAAAATAACTGAAAATTGTTCGACGATATCCATGGGGAAATTGAAATATTTTAAATCCTAAAATACAACTCAACACTGATATTGGTAATAATGCTGTTTTTAATTTTTTTGGTGACCATTTAAAAGTTTTTTTTAACTTCATCACTATTGACATATTGAAAAAAATTATTTTACTCGTTGGTTCTTTTAAATCATTTTTTTTTTTTTTTGACCCCTTTTTAATTATTTATAATGAAAATTTTATTAACTTTTATTTTTAATTTTCGTTTTTTTTTTTTTTTTTTTTTTTTTTTGCTTATCGTATTGTAGAATTTTAAGAAAATTTTTGTTTTTCTAATGCAAATTTTGTCGATTTTGGCGACAATTTTTTTTTATAAACTTTGTAGAATAAATTTTTTTAAGTAACTTCCTTTAAAGACTGATAAAGAATAATTTTCATATTAATAACTATTTATTGTAAACTATATATCGATTTTCAAGTTGCGTGTTATGAATAATTAATATTATTTAAAAATGCATGTGGTGTCATTTTTAAATGATTTCAATAATTTAAATAATTATTTTATATTAAAAATAATAAACCTTGAATTGTTTTGAAATAAAAGTAATTTATTATTGAAATTTTTCATAATTGAATTAATTTTTTTAATTAATTAAATTAAATTTTTAATTTCTTAATTAATTAATTAAATTAAAATTTTAATTTCCTAATTAATTCATATTTTAAAATTCATATAATATGAATTATTATGATTTTTATGTTTCTCTCGCTGGATACAGTTGCAACACTATTGTCAATCTATCTGCAATTGCCAGTACAAACTGAATAATATAAAAATTTTGTTATTATTTAATTTATTTATTATTCTATATCCCTCACAACACAAGGATATTCAGGATATCCCTGGGACGTCCTGGGGATATCCATTTGCTTTTGGCGATTCGGATATCCCTAAGATATCCTCTGGATATCCATGGACATCTCTAAGATATCCCAGGGATATCCAAACCGCCGAAAACAAATCGATATCCCCAGGACGTCCCAAGGATATCCTGAATATCCTTTTGTTGTGAGGGATAGATGACAAATAATAATTAATTATAGTAATTACTCACAAATGTTATCAGTCGATGACCTAATTGAATTCCAAAAATATTAAATTTAAGGGGACATTGTTCAATTTGTTCAATAAATTCATTAATCTGTAAAGTATAAATGATTTTTTATATCGAATTTAAAAAAAAAAAAAAAACTTAAAAAAAAAACTTTTAAAAAACTTAAAATAAATTTTTACCTCAGAGACAATATTTGTGTCCTGTGATAAATAAAGAAGATGTTCCACAGTTTTACAAACCTATTTTCGATAAAAAAAAAATATATATATATATATATATATATAAATATAACAATTAATTTCTTAAAAATCATTTATATTACTTCATACAGAATTAAATATTTTACCTCTAAAGAAACATTTTTACATGCATTATTAACATAAATAAATCTATTAACAAATACAATGCACAAAAATATTTCTACAATATAAATGCTAATAGCTGTTTCAGTATCCATATTTTTTTCAAAATATGTAACGAATATCAGATAAACAATAACAATTTGTGATATGAAATTCACGAATATTGAAATTAAAATTTGAAATTGATATATTTCATTTATTTTTCCTGCAATATTTGACAGTTCCAAATGTTGTAATCTAATTTAAAAAAAAAAAAAAAAAAAAAAAAACAATAATTTAAATAAACTATGTTTGGCCATCTCTTATATATACAAAAAAAAAATTCTCATTTACTTAAATTTTGCTACTTACTTAATTATTCTTATCATATCTAATTTTCTTTTCACATGTTTCTTATGAAATTCAGTTTTCAGTAAAAAAAACTGACTTTCCATTTTTATAATGTTGTTCAAATGTTTAAAAGAGTATCCAATACATCTGTATGAAATTTTTTTTTTTAATATACAAATATTTCATTATTTTACAAAAATTAAAAAATCCCTTTTCTAACTAAATAAAATATTAAATAAATAATAGAAATATCCCCAATAACACAAGATATCTTGGGATATATTGATAATATCCCGCAGATATCCTAGGGATGTCCTATGGATATCAAAAGGATCTCTTAAGGATATCCAAAAAATCGTCGGTTTGGATATCCTTTGGATATCCCATGGATATCTGAGGATATCCACAGGATATCTTCTGGATATTTATAAACTTTCATAAATGTCCTCCAGATATCCCATAGATATCGTCAGGATATTCCACAGATATCATCAGGATATCCCATAGATATCGTCAGGATATCCCATAGATATCGTCAGGATATCCCACAGATATCATCAGGATATCCCATAGAAATCGTCAGGATATCCCACAGATATTTTTAGCATATTCTCAGTATATCTTCTGGATGTCAAAAGAAGATATTCTCATGATACTGTTTTTAAAGTCATTATGACACTACGAGTGAGAATATTCTGTGAATTAAATTTTATATATAAATAAAATAAAATGCAACTTCTTTTTCGAGAAAGTTGTTTAATTTGAAAATTTTATTAACTAATTTTTTTTCTCATTCGTGATTCATTCCTTTATTCATATGCTTAATATTTTTAGAAAATAAATTGGCTTTAAACAATATAAATTCTTCCCGGCAAATAACGAATAACTATTAATATTAATTATACATTAAGTGCATATGAGTTTATTTAAAAAATTTAAAAAATGCGTTTCAAATCTTCATTTACAATAAATTAGAAGCTCATAAGATTTTTGTTTTTATTATATATTATTATTCATTATATCAGCTAAACAATTTTAACCTTTAAAAATATATGTTGAGATATTAAATATCCGGTGAATATCCTAAGAATATCCCACGGACATCCTGAGGATATCCCATGGATATCCTGTGATATAATATCTAATAGATATTTTGTGGATGTCTTAGAGATATCCTGTGGATATCCGATGGATGTCCTGTTGATGTCCCACAGACCGGCGGTTTGGATATCCTAGGGATATCCTATGAATATCCCAAGATATCCTGGGGACCATTCTAGGATATCGATCATTGATATGGATATCCTATGGATATCCTAGGGATATCCTTTTGTTATGAGGGAATATAATGAATAATAATATAATAAAAACAAAAATCTTATGAGCTTCTTATTTATTTTAAATGAAGATTTAAAACGCATTTTTCAAAGTTTTTAAATAAACTCATGCACTTAATGTGTAATTAATATTATAATAGTTATTCGTTATTCGCTGGAAAGAATTTATATTCTTTAAAGCCAATTTATTTTCTGACAATATTAAGCATAAGAGATCCTTTTGATATCCATAGGACATCCCTAGGATATCTGCGGGATATTATCAATATATCCCAAGATAT